AATCTGCCGAAGATGACCAACAATAACAAAGATGGCCCCACGATACGCACTGCCAAAGATGACCAAAAATGACAATGATGACCAACAATGACATAAATGACAATCTTCCAAATCTCCCAATACGCACCCAAATCTGCCAAAGATGGCCCCACGATGCTTTCGGACGGCCCCGAAGCAGCCTCGGGAGCCCCCAGGACTGCCCCAGGCAGTTCCGGGAGGCCCGCCCGGCGGCGCCCAAGAAACCGAAATCACGCCTCCGGCATACGTGTTTGAGCGAAGCTTCTGCTTCACGTGTGCGAAGTTTCCGACGGCCCGAGCAGGCCCAAGAAGCCTCCCAAGAAACCAAAATCACGCATGCGCCATACGTGTTTGAGCGAAGCTTCTGCTTCACATGTGCGAAGTTTCTGAGGGCCCGAGCAGGCCCAAGAAGCCTCCAACACGGCCGAGAAGGGCCCCGAGAATCCGTGACGCACCCCCCGAGGGAAGTCCGAAGAGGCCCCCGAAAGTCCCCCGCGGGAGCTCCAGCAGAAAAACCCAGGAGGCCCCAAGGGTGTCCCGACAAGCTCCCAAGAGGCCCCTCCGCCTCCATCTTCCACATGCACCCCATTCCCCCTGCCCCTTCCCCCACCCAACCCCACCACCGCCGCCACAACTCTCCCCCGCAGCCCTCACCGCGGTTTCGGGGGACGCGTTCCGTCAGAGATCTCATGCTCTCGTCAACAGCCGACAATTTTCAATGGCCGCGCGAACAGCGCACCAGCCATTGCAAGCAACCTGCAGCAATCTAGAGACTGGTCGGACTTGTTCCATGCATGAAAACAAAAAGAGCCACGACCACAAAGACTCCATAGAATTCCTTCCCAAAGGAGCCTCCTAGCTGGTGGCGTTCCGTTCAGGGCATTGTCTAGGGGCGCGCCCTCACATAAAGGCCACCAGCTCGGATGGGGGGAGTGGCCAGCCCGCCTTGCTGGTCGGTGGTGGTGGTTCTTTCTTGTCTGGTGATCCGTGGTCTCTGGAAAAGCGGAACAATTCGAATAGCGCCCCCGCACGAGCCCGCGCGGCAACAGCGCTAGGCCCGGAGCCGTGCGCTCGGGGCTTCTGGCGCCGAAGGCGCGTCGGCGAACCTGCTGGGCACAGCCCTGCCACAAAATCATCCGTTGGTAGTCGGGCATGGCACGGGCCCGCGCGAATCCGCACGCATCGCGTCCTTCTGCGACTGATCATTCCTCGTTCAGGCCAGCAGCTTTCTTTTTGTCTTATCGCGCCTATCGCAGAACCTCGCTGGATCTCCAACACTCGGGCTCGGCTTCCACATGCTTGTTCCAATTGCGCCACATTTCGCAGGCCGCGGGTGCTGGCGCGCGGAACAAGAAGTCAGAACCTTCAGTTAAAAGCACCCTTTGGCAATTCATCATTTAAGCGCTCGCGTGACTGCGCGTTGCCGCTCGCGTCCTCTTCGCTCGACAATGGAGACAATTCCCTCTGTTGCGATACACGCGCCCGATGTTGTAAGTGAGTATTCCGCTGTCTCCCCGTTCGCCTCAATCGCTTCCACAGATTTGCCGACCATTTTATCACAAGGGAGCGTCCCCAAGGATGCCATCGGGATACCAGGGATACTAAACTCGGAGCCTGCGAGCGCCTCTATCAACTTGAAGCATCGATGGCCGTCCGCGCGGCTCGCGGGCAGGGAGCCAGCGGTGCACGTAGCAAGGTTGGGCGCCTTCCGCCCTCGGCGGGTGACCATGGGCTCGACTGGGCAAGCCGCTGTGCGCGCGCAGGCCTGGGTTTAGGTCGGGCGTGTCAACCTACAGGCGGATTTTGGATGACAATCACAAACAAACACAAACAATACTCAAACAATATTTCAAACTACTCCAAACATCGTCCCAAAACTATTGTATTTTTGAATATTCCTCCTGTAGAGGGACGTGCCCGACTTAAGCCTGGGCCAGAACGGGAAAGGAGGGTGAAACGACAAAGGTCGCTCAAGTCTGATCGCGGCATCAGGCCCGAGAGGGTCGCCCGAACACTGCCCGCGTGCCAGGGGAGACAAGCGCCGACGACAGACTCAACAGAGGCATGCTGGCAGCAGTTTTGGGGGGACGCGGGAACAAATGACCCCAAAGTGTGCGAAATCGCTATACGTATGTGCGTACTCCTCTCCCTATAATTTTACAAGCCCGGGCGGGGGGAAAACCCGTCACCCCCCCCAAAAAAACCGGACTCCCGGGATCTGGGGCTTTGGGACCCTTCGGACGGGCCTCGAAGCAGCCCCCACGGCCTCGCAGAGCGTTTTGCCAAGCCTTCGCAGCACACCTAGGGGGATCAGGGGGGTCATCGGAGTTGAACCCCAAGACAGCACAAGAGCGCTCCAAGCCGTCATTCCCCGAAAGATTGCTCCAAAACGTACCAAGAGGCCTCCAAGAGCACCCCCAAGAAGGCCCCAAGAGGGAAAAATAATTGATTTAATGTAGGTTTTTGGTGAATTTGGGGTTCTCCTCTGTTCGGCTTCCCGACGCTCCAAGACAGCGGTCTTCTGGGCGTCCGAAGTCGCCTGGGAGGCTCCAAAATCGCCCCACAACCAGAGAGGCCCCAGGCAGTCCAATCGCCTGGGAGGCCCCAGGCAGTCCAAGAGAACCCCAAAACGGCTCAACAGGGGTCCAAAATGGCCTTAAGAGAGCCCCATGGCGGCCCAACATGGCACCAAGACACCCTCCGAAGCATGCCAAATCGTGACCGGGGCGTTCAGGGAGACCGCGATTCGAGGCAGGTTGGCCTTAGGAAGCCCCAGAGGCCCCCAGAACACGCCCAGGAGGCCTCCAGAAGGCTTTAAGAAAGCCTGAGAACTTTGGTGAGGCTTCCAGAGGCTCTCAAAGGAGGAGCCTCCGCAAAAAAAGCTGAGGAGGATGAGGAGAATGCCCAGGGTATGGCGAGAATGAGGAACAGCAAGCATGGAGGAAGGATAACGAACAACATTATTATAACGGCGATGCCAAAAAAGGCAGCAAAGAGTTATCGCAAAATTGTCCGCTTGACCTTCCTGCCATTTCCGCCTGCATACCAATCTTCAAGGACCAAGGTGCATGGCGCGAAGCGCCACTGCAGTCTTGTATATATATATATATATGTGTGTATCCACCCCATCCGACCGCGAAAGACGCTAGCCCAAGGCACAACGCGTCTAACCCCGCGTAGCTCCCGAGTCCAATGTATGTACTTTGGGGGAATAAATGCTTCCGAGATGCCCCCGAATGGCCTGCGAAGTGCCTCCAAGTCGATTACGATTGCCCGGTGCCGAACATGGCCCCAACATCAGCTACAACTCCGGATTATCGAAGCCTTCCCCCTTCAGATCATGATTCAAACCTGATTGCAGCACCAGCCGCCATCTTATCGAAGGCTCTCTGCTCTTTTTCTGGCCCGTTGCTTGTGGCAGGTCGCTTCGTGGAGGCCCATGACGACAGGCTCAACCAGGGCTTGACCTCAACGTTGCTGTTCGTTTTGTTTTCGTTTCGCTGCTCGTTTTGCTCGATCTGCTTCCTTTATTTACCTCCCTGCCAAAACGCAAAACGAAACACGGCCAGAGTCCGGAAAAACAGCGCTGAGGCCCAGCCCTGGGCTCCACCAGGCCCCACCCGAAACCGCACGACCGCGTCGACCCGCACTCGCCCCCTTTCGCCACGCGCGCCGCCACCGCGCGGCGCCCTCGAGAGGCGGCTCGAGAGCGAGCCTGCGCCGCCCTCTCGGAGCCTTCGAGGACTGCTCGTCTCGCCATCGCTCGGACGTCCATTCCCTGTGATTTTTTCGGTTTCGTGCGTGGTTTCTTCGCCAAATGATCAAGGATGATCCTCGATGGTACCCACCGACGAAGCTAATGCATACGTCCGAGCGATGCCAAGTTCGTGGGCATCGGCGGGCCACCTCCCGTCGCGGGTCCGCCGAGCTGCCCGCCGCCTGCCAGGCCGCTGCCCCGGCCGTGGCTGCGGGCGGGGCAGGCGCGGGCACCGAGCCCGACGCCGGCGCAGGCGCTCCGGCTCCTTCGGTGGCTTGACGATCGTCCTCGCTGCGCTGCTTTCGCTTCGGCCGCTCGCCCAGAGCCTCCAGGGCGTTGGCCAAGACGCCGATCGAACCGCCGGAGCAGCACACTCCGTCGTGCAACGCTCGAACTCCTCCTTGTCCTTTCCTTGCATGTCCGCATCCTCGAACAGGACTCAGAAAGACAGGTTGAGCTCGGTATTACTGTCCAAGATCTCGCGTACGCCCAGTTTACGAACTTCCTGCTGTGACTCTCCAATGCAGCCCACAGTCGCTAGAGGGCCACATCTCCGCCACAGCTGGCGTCCTCTTCTCCCCGTGGGTGGAGCTCTCCCCGAGGCGGCGACCACCAGAGGAACGGAAGTCGACAACCTGTGGTGATCAGGCGCCAGAGAGAATTGGATTGATGGCTACGCCCTGGCGAGGCCCACACAGGCAAGAGAAAGAAAGAGGGCTTCGTAAAAGGCGGCCGCCGGCCGATGTGCAGCGCAGCCTGGTCTGTTGCGGTGGGCCCTGCTCTCCTGTCGACCTCCCCTTACCAAGGACAACGCACAGGGCAGAGAAGGCAAAAACGTGCAGCCAAAGCCCACAACAAGACCGCAAGGTGAGGATGCCAAATCCTTGGGTGCCAAGCTTGCAGCACATCCAGGGACTGGCCCACGGAAGTGGCTAGAGGTTGGCCCAAGAGATCAAGACTGGAGTAGAAACACAATAATCAATCACGCCACTCCCCAGACATCTCCGGGGGCGCAGTCTGACCGGGATTCCGAGGCGACTGCAGCCGCTGCGGCGAGGGCTCCCCTGGAGGCCGAACAAGTCGGGCTTGAGGGGAAGACATCGGCATCGGTACACAATTCCCTCTCTGAATGGATGCAAGGGTGCAAGGGCATCTTCGGCGAGCAGACCTCCTCCTTAGCATGGACTTTGACTGCAGGTAGATTCCCCGCCCCTTGCGGAGGCACCCTCAGGCCGAAGCCGCTGGGGTGCATCGCCAAGCAGCGGCTGCTCTCCTGCGGGCAGGACAAAGGGGTGAGGGGACTGACGGAGGAGAAGGAGGAGGAAGAAGGAACGAGTGAGGATTGAAGAGAGGAGGAGGAGGAGGAGGAGGAGGAGAAGGAGAAGGAGGCGGAGGAGGACGAGGAGGAGGAAAAAGAGGAGGGAGGAGGAGAAGGATAAAGAGGAGGGAGGAGGAGAAGGAAAAAGAGGAGGGAGGAGGAGGAGAAGGGAGAGGAGGAGGAGGAGGAGCTGGAGGTGCGAGGGCGAACAAAGAAAAGAGCGAGCTGGGAGGCGCAGGCGTAAGAAGTGGGAGGAGGGGGGTCGCTCCGCTTCCAAGGTCTCCTCTCGAAGAATGCTGGTCTTATCGTGCTTCCTCTTCAGATGCTAGCCTAGGGCTGGGCTTGCTTTCTCAAACCCCATCATATTGTTCCTCCTCGTTATCCTCCTGCTTGCCCACTGCCTAGTAGTTCATCTTCATCAGTGTCATCAGCAGCAGCAGCAGCAGCAGCAGCATCAACATCGGCATCAACACCAGCGTCAGCATGATGATGATCAGCATCATCGTCGTCAACAGCAGTACCACCATCATCATCAGTATCACCATCATCAACAGCATCATCCTCGTCATCATCACCATCATCACTATCATCATCATAATCCTCCTCCTCCTCCTCCTCCTCCTCCTCATCATCATCATCATCATCATCATCATCATCATCATCATCGTCGTCAGCGTCATCGGCATCATCACCACCATCATCATCGACCTCATCATCGAAATCCTCGTCATCACCACCATCATTCTCCTCCTCATCATCGTCACCACCATCGGCACCATCATCCGCATCGTCAGCGATATCATCGTCAACAGCATCGTCAACATCATCATCAGAAGCATCACCACCATCATCACCATCACCGTCGCAGTCACCATCATCAGCATCATCATCAGCATCATCAGCATCACAATCAGCATCATCATCACCACCACCATCATCAGTATCATCAGCATCAGCATCGTCATCATCACCATCATCACCATCGCCATCATCACCATCATCATCATCAGCATCATCATCATCCGCATCATCATCATCATCATCATCATCATCATCATCATCATCATCGTCATCAGTATCATCATGATCAGCAGCAGCATCACCACCACCATGGGCATCGTCATCATCAGCTGCATTATCAGTATCCTCCTCCTCATCATCAGCGTCATCAACAACAACATCCTCATCGTCAAACTCACCCTCATCCCCCTCCCCTCCCCTTCCAATCATCCTAGGCCTCCCCACACCGCACGAGCCGAGAGCCAGTCGGCGAGGCTCCCGCAGGAGTCTCCCAGCTCACTGGGGCCTCGTGCATCCGCATCATTCCCGCTGAGGAAGAACCCATGCGACCATCTCTCGGTCCGCCCGAATGCCCCCTGGCACGCGAAGCCACCAAGACAATAAAGGCTGGACACCCTCAATACGACCCAACATGACAAAAGAGCATTCCGGCCGATCCCAAAGGCCCCGAGACGCCACAGAAAACAGAGTGCAAGAGAGTCTCGTCAGTCTCAAGAAACGGAGGTACCGAAGAGACTCCAAGGGACCTGTGAGAAGGTATTCAGGAGGACCCTGTAAGACTGACAGCAGTGAATAGCCGAACATGGCGTTGTGAAGTCTGCCTGTACCCAAGGACGCGCTGACGGTGTGCTTGGTTAACGGTGCGGTTGGGAATATGTTTGCGACACTCAGCTCACGCAAAACAAAATGTACAAAAAACACGAGACATCGTTTCTCACATTTCCAATATGCGGATGTATCGAACGAAAACGACACAGCAAGTTGTTAGAAATCACAAACCACGCGTTCCTACAATTGGTTTTCCTTCGTCGCCGTTAGCTAATACATCGTTAGCCCGTCTACGGTGTACGCTGAGGCTCCAGGCCGCCCCAAATGGCTCTACAACTTCGCGTCGGGAGACCATCGTAGAGCCATCACGCCCAAGACGGCCACAGCGAGATCAAGCGCGCGCGGAGGCTTTGGTGAAACTGTGGTTGATCCATGCTGGAACAATCATGGAACCAACTATGTTGCTGCCAAGCTAATTCGATGCGTTGCCCACAGGGTTGGTTATACCTCAGCCTCGGGAGACCACGCCATCACGCGGGACGACTGCTTTCACGGAAAAGCCCCTGTATGGTCTCGGCTGAAGCTCGGCGGGAGCATAGGCAAGCATAGGCGCAGGGGTCGGGATCCAGGCGGGATTGTCAGATTGATGCTGGAAACCGCAGGGGATCGATCGAGCCTGGCCCCGAAACAAGCGACCTTCGAATTAGAAGCACGTCCCCGATGAGGCCTTCGCAGAAACGAAACCTGATTGACCCCCAGACCGTCGATGACAGATGACCGCTTCCCCTGTACTTGAGTACCGTTGGGGCTGCGAAGGAGCTGCTGCTCGGTGGTCGGGGGGAACGGAAGAGCAGAACAGCCAAAGGGCCCTGGGACAAACAAATACATACACACAAACAACAGGAGCGCGTTTCTTTATGTTCGGCGATGACGGGCGTCATGGGGGGGGGGGAGGGCGGGGGGGGGTATGACGTGACGCCCCCCCCGCCGAGTGGCTCCCGCACCACAGCCGCGCCCGCGCGCACGACGCGACGAGCGACGAGCGACGATCGACGACGACGACGCGAGCAGCATGTAAGTGGCGATCTGCCCATTGCGCCTGTGTACACCACAACGCTCGCGTGCACCACGCCGCGCGTGTGCACCACAGCGCCTGCGTACACCGCAACAGCCGTGTGCAATGCACCGCCCGCGTATACCACAATACCTGGGAACACTACAGCGCCGGTGTACATACACCGCAGCAGCCATGTGCAACACAACGCCTGTGTACACCACAGTGCCTGCGTGCACAGGACAGGTAGAAGGAACACGTACGTCAGGATCTGCTGCGGACAACTAAACGCCACGCCAGGAAAGTTCTGAGAATCGAATACGACATTTTTCGTTCCTCCCTCCTCCTCCACCTCCTTTTCCTTCTCCTCCTCCTCCTCCTCCTCCTCCTCCTCCTCCTCCTCCTCCTCCTCCTCTTCCTCCTTCTTACCCCCTGTCGTGCGGCTTGGCGTTACAACGCACGTGCGCATCCCAGCGTGCACCGCAGAATGGTCGATAGAATCGGTCCACTTGGTTCTCGGACGGCCAGTTTAGCTGGAGTGTCCTGGACGCCAATGGGAGTTAGGGTGATGCGGGCGGACTCGGGGGGACTCGTAGATTCCAGCGGCGCTCCTTTGTCCATGAGGATTTGTTTTCCATTGTTTTTTCTGGAATCCACACGCGCTCCATTTTGTCACAATGATCCCTTCTGAAATTCTATACACGACAATGGTGCTGTGTTGCACACGGTTGATGTGGTGCACACAGGCGTCGTGGCGTACACAAGCACTGCAATGCACGCAGGCATTGTGGTGTACACTGGTGTTGTGTTGCGCACGGCTGATGTGGGGTACGGAGGCGTTGTGGTGTACGCAGGAGCTGCTGTGCCCGCAGGCACGGTGGCACAAACTGACGCTGTGTTGCACGCGGCTGCTGTGGTGTACATCGGCGGTGTGGTGTACACAGGCGCTGCGGTGCACGCGGGCACTGTGATGTACACAGGCGTTGTGGTGCATATCGCCACCGACATGTTCGTGCTACCCGTCCTCCGTCATTCCTAAGCATTCCCAAACGCCGCCGGCGCGAAACGTGACGTCATCGACCCCCTTCCCCCCCCAGATGATTGCCGTCATCGGCCCGGACTAAAAAAAACAGGCTCCAGCCGCGTCCGCGCGCACGACGACGATGAGCGACGAGCGACGAACCACGAGCGACGACGACGACGACGACGACGACGACGACGACGACGACGACGACGACGACGACGACTCCTGCGGACCAGACACCTATGCGGATTCCTACGCGGACACCTACGCGGATCCCAATGCGCACGGCGGCAGTGCCCGGAGCGCACTGGGGGGGGGAGCGTTATGTCATAGGGGGGGGGGGAGCGGGGGCCATGACGCCCGTCATGCCCCAAGCAATAAAGAAACGGGCTCCAGGTTTCCCTATAGTTTCCTCTATGTTCTGGGATTGGGTCTTCCCCTCCACTTCCCATATTTTCCTATATTTTCTAGGGGATCGACGATTAATTTTGTCTGTGTTCTTTCCCTCCTGAATGTATCAAGGAAGGGGCCCGGAAGCGCGGCGGAGACCAGCTGCAGGCAGCTGACCCCTGGGGGCCCCAGGGCCTCAGCAAGCACCAAGACAGGCCAAGAGTGCCCCAAGAGGCCCCCGAGAAGGTCCAGGAGGGCCCCCAGTCGCCAAACGATATGTCCAAAAACGCCTTCACGCCCTCCAGACTGCCTAGGAGGCTTCCAAGACGCCCCAAGAAGCCTCCAAGAGCACTCCCGAGAGGACACCAAGAGGCAAAATTAATTGATGTTCCATGGGTTTTGTTCTGGGGATTGGGCGTTCTCGTCTTTTCCGCTTCCCGCCGTTACAGGACGACCCAAGAAGCCCCCGAGGACGGCCCAAAAACATCCCAAAAGGATCCCAAAACATCCCAAAACGCCTCGAAGACGGCCCAAGAAGCCCCCAAGACGGCTCCAAGAGCGTGCCCAGACGGGGGAGCCGAACGGACATTTCGAGCCCTCGGCCCGGACAGGCAAGAGTTTCCCAAGAGGCCCAAAGAGGCCCACAAAAGGTCCCCGGGAAGCCCGAAGAGGCCCCCAAGAGGCTCCTAGCAGGCCCCCAAGAGGCTCCAAAGAGGCCCAAACATCCCTCCCCAGAGGCCCCCGAGAGCCTTCCGAAGAGACCCAAGAAGCATCCCTGAGGACTCTGGCTCACGTCAGCGTCGTCTTCGTCGCCGCCGCCGCTGCCGTTGTCGTCGTCGTCGTCCCCCTTCAGGGTCGGCGGCACCGGCCGTAAGGCCTTTGCAATCAGCTCACGTAGCTGGTTTGCCTGGCGCCTCCTGGCGCCGGGAGGGGAGGCGCCCGTGTCTCCAGGAATGGGCCTAGAAGCGGGGCGGAAACCAGCCGCATGCAACCGATTTCGTGACCTACCTTATCCCTGTCCCACCGTTTCGTCCGGCCCGAGATAGGAAATTCCCGCCTGCTCACTCTCTGTGGCTGCGCGCACCTGTGGGCAGGCCGAGGGAATGGCCTCCGAAGCCTGGCGCATCGCAAAAGGTGCTATGAGGGCGCGCGGCCCTGGAGGGGCCGATCCCTTCCGAGAAGCCCCCAGGGGGTCTTTGTGAGAATCGGCGGCGAGCGATGCGATGGGGGGGAAGCGACAAGGAGGCGGCCTTCTCAGGAGGCTCGGAAGTGCCCCGGCCTTCTGACAAATGTTCCGAGCCTTCCCCGAGGACGCTCAAAACCTCTCAGAAGGCCAGAGGGCTTCTGAGAAGCCCCGCCGCCTTCTGTGTGGGAGAGGCACCCATGCACCGTACCATGTTTGGACCCCTTCAGGCCCCACTCCGACGCGGTACGATGCATATACAGTCAACCCGCATAGTAAGGATGGGCAACCTTCCCAAGGGTACCCTTGCATCCTTGCCTCCTCGGTCCATCCTTGGCCACTTTCGCTGGCCGCGCCCCGCTCGAGAAGCTTCGAGGTGGGCGTCCAAAGCCCTTGCATCCTTATCGCGCATCCTTACTAGACGGGTTGACTGTCGTTTTCCGCCCCCTCAGGGTCGAAGAACTCTGCACCATACCGTGCCTGGAGCGAGAATCGACGACGCCTCGAGCGGCGCCAACGCGGTGCGGTGCACACACGTCGTCTGCGGATGCTGAGAAGGCCTTCTCCTTCTCTCGGGGGCGCGCCAACATGGATTGGCGATCCATGGACTTGGCGCGCGATCGCCAAATCCATGGATCGGGGAGGTGCCCTCCCCAAAATGCGGCCGGTGCCGCCTCGTTCGGCGGCGGAAATCCGCGATGTCCCATGGGAACGGGACCCGTCGCCAATCCACCCTTGATCCATGTCTGCGATCGCCCGACGAGAGGAAGAAGCCACCCCTCCCCCCCTGCCCTGGCCCCTTTCTCGGGCGCGGCCAGAAGTGTCCCTGGCGCAGGGTGCCCCCAGGACACCGTGGGCAGGAACCCGGCGGCGCGCACAAGGGTGTGGCTCGAGGGCGGAGCCTCACTTCCTGGAATTAGAAATACAGTCGGGGGCTTGACCTAAGGAACCCTAAATAAGGAACGAGGCCTCTTTTTTCCATAAGTTAATCTTCGATGTTCGATCGTAAACATAAAGAAAACCTGAGGCAAGCTGTGAAACACTTAAGGAACGCGGAGCCCCTCCCCAACGAAAAGGGTTCCTTCTTCAGGGCCCCGACTGTAGGTGGCGTGTTAGAAGACCCTGGAGGCTTCTAAGAAGCCTTCTTTGAAGCCCCCAGGGCCTTCGAAGCGGGCCCCGCCGCGCCACCTCCTTGGTACGCGCCGCGAGGGCGAATCGAGACAACGCTGGCGGTGTCTCAACTCGCCCTCCCCTGATTCCAGCATCACCCCATCGTCCTCGCTGCCGGTGATGTCTGCGAGGCGAGGGACCGCGTCGGTGCGCGTGGGCGCTGCTTCACTGGGGGGGCGAGTAAAACGGAGAGGCGAAGGGACTTGCACCTTCCGCGCCCCCTTTTGGGCCCCACGGAGCGCCTCTACGGCATTGGGGCCCTGACGTGCACTTTTCTCCCCCGCCCAATGGGGGCCATCTATTTCTTATTCGCGACAACGCGGGTGACCGGCCCCGCTCTCCCCCCTTCCCCCCCTGGCCACGTCACGAACCGCGCCGATCTGCCATTTCTGCCTATTCTCAGACGGCGCCAGCGCGAATCGTGACGTGACCTACCCCCTCCCCACCTCCCCCTCCCCGACCCAGTCACGCCCGTTACAGTCGGGGCGCTGAACAAGGAACCCTTTTCGTTGGGGAGGGCCTCGGTGTTTCTGGATTGTTGCGCAGCTTGCCTTGGGCTGCCCCAGTCTTCCCTGGGAAATCGCAGTCCAACTTTTAGGGAAAAGGGGCCTCGTTCCTGATTTCGGGTCGCCTTAGGTCAGCGCCCCGACTATTTCGCCAGGGGATGAAAATCTCGGGCCGGGCGAAAGGGGGGGATAGCAAAGGGGGGGCTTGAGAATCGGCTCACGCAGCTGATTTTCCCGGCGCCTCACGGCGCCGGGAGGCGCCCACATGTACCGAGGAGTGGGCCCGGCGGCGGGGCCGAAACCGGCTGCATGCAGCAGATTTCCGACCCCCCCTTTCCCCAAGTTCCCCCCCCTTTCGCCCGGCCCGCAAAGCGCCTCCGCGCCTCCCCCCCCCCCCCCCCCCCCCCCGCGCCACTAACTGGGGGTTTCATGAGAAGGGGGCCCAAAAATTTCCAGACCTTTCTCCAAAAGAGACTCTTGGAGATGTCGAGAGATGAGGACATCCGAGGGAGGCAGGTGTCGAGAGATTGGGACTTTCGAGGGAGGAGATGTCGAGGGATGAGGACATTTGAGGCAGGCAGATGTCGAGAGATGGGGACATTTGAGGGAGGCAGATGTCGAGAGAGGAGGACTCTCGAGGGAGGAGATGTCGGGAAATGTCGACATTTGGTGGGCGCTGGCCGGCCCCCCCCCCCCGGGCGTGGCAGAGGGTGGGCCCGGCCCGCGGGCACAACGCCCGGCGGAGGGCCCGTCGCCGCGAGGCAGCGCGACGCGGCAGGGCGCTCCAGCACTGCTCCTCCTCCCTCCTCATCCTCATCCTCATCCTCATCCTCCTCCTCCTCCTCCTCCTCCTCCTCCTCCTCCTCCTCCTCCTCCCCCTCCTCCTCCCACTCCTTCTCCTCCTCCACCTCCTCCTCCTCCTCCTCCTCCTCCTCCTCCTCCTCCTCCTCATCTCCTCCTCCTCCTCCTCCTCCTCCTCCTCTCCCTCCCCCTCCTCCGCGCTCGACGAGGCGTCCATTCCCTGTGTTTTTTGTCGGTGTTGTACGCGGCGTTTTCGCCAAAGGATCAAGGATGCTCCTCGATGGTCCTCGCCGAGGGACAAGAGCACACGTCCGAGCGATGCCAAGCCCCTCCCCTCGCACCACCATGGACGGCCAACCATCAGATCCTGGCGTTCCAGCCCTTCCCCGCTGGGCGTTCTGGCCCTCCTTCGGACCCCGGGGGCTCTCCAGGACCGATCCCCCAAAAGGCAGCCGCAGATGGTGTCCAGGGCCCCTGGCCGTGATTTTTCACGATGCTGCAGTGCTTCGCGTCGTCGGATCTCGGGAAGTGTGCGGGGGAGGAGTCTCGCGGTGGCGAAGTGCGTCACTGTTTCTCGGCAACCTGCTCGTCCGCTCGCCCCCCTCGCCGACGGTGGCGCCCTGCCGGCGGTGTCACTTCTTTCTCCTCTGGCCGAAGCCCCCCCCCATGGACGCGAGAAAACTTGACTGCTGTCGGGCTGCCTTTTCGGCGATGGACAATGCAAACCTCCCCTTAATGAAAACGGCCTGGGACCGACACCGAGGACCCAGACCCGCAAAAATGACTGCCGCGACGCCCTCTCGCTCTCCGAAAACGGCCAATTCCCCAATCGACGTGTCAGGGTAGGAGGTCTATCAACCTCCGACTTTCGAGGGGCGAAGCCTCGTCCAGATCTGCGCAAAGGGGGGCTACCCGGGGGGCTCTGGGCAGCGCCCAGAGGGGGAGGGCCGCGAGGCAGAGAACGGTGAGGGAGGGAGGGGAGGAACGGGAACCCGAGCGAAGGAGGAAGGAAACGATGGAGATGGGGACCGGCGGAGAGGAGAGGACAGGGGAGGGGAGAGGAGGGGGAACGCTGGGGGAGGGCCCCTCGATCAGAGGCTTTCGCCTGCCCGGTGGGCGCCTCCTCCACGCAGTGGGCGGTTCGATCACGGAAGGCCGCGGGCCCGGTGGCGCATCGCGCCCCCCAATGGCCCTGCCGCCGCGGAAGCCTGGCCGCCATGCATTAAGAACGCGTGGCGAGGATACAAGGCAAAGGATACAAGGCCCGTGGACACACATCGGAAGGAAGCTGGCGGCGCAGGGCCAGAACTGGCCAGGAATACGCCGACGAGGCAAGAACGCAAGGGCATCCCCCGTGGACGACAGCAATCTTACTGCGAGCACTGGCTGTAATCACCGAGGGCGCGTCGCTGGATGGCTCCAGGGGGGGGGACCCCCCCCCTTTTCTCCGATCCGTCGTCGGGGAACCCCCCCCCTCGTTCCCTTTCCCGCTCGGTTGTCGGGGACCCCCCCCCCCCTTTCCCGGTCCGTCGTCGGGGACACCCCCCTTCCCTTCCTTTCAAAACGTGGGAAGGGGGTTCTGACCCCACCCCTTCCCCCCTTCGGCCGCCAAATTCGACCCCCCCCCTCCTCACCTCCTTTCGCCACGGCGCCCCCGGTCTCCGGAACCCGACCCCTACCACCCCTAACACTAATCCTCACCCTAACCCTAACCTCTAACCCTAACCTCAAACCCAAACCCTAGCCCAAAACAGTACTCACTACTCATTACGTACTACTCACTACCCACACTTCACTACCCGCTACCCATTACTCACTTCTCACTACTCACTAATCACTACCCACGACTCAGTACCCACGAGGCACTACTCACTACTGCCTACTCCCTACTAACTACTCACTACAAAGCACTCACAACTCACTACCCCCTACTCAATACTCACTAAACACACCTCACTACCCACTACCCACTAATCACAAATCACTGCTCACCGCCAACTAACCACGATCCACGAATAACTACTCACACTTCACTACTCACTACTCACTGCCCGCAACTCACTACTCACTATCCACTACTCGCTATTCGCTACTCCCTACTCCCTACACAGTACTCACTACTCACTGCTCACTATCCGCTACTCCCTACGCCCTACTGGCTACCCAATTCGCAGTATTCACTACCTACTACTTACTCACTACTCACTACGCACCCACTACTCACTACTCACTATTTCCTACTCCCTACTCACTATTACCAACTCACTACTTACTTCTCGCTACCCAGTACTCAATACTCACTACTCGCTAAACACTACTCACTGCCAACTACTCACTACGCACTAAGCACTACTCAAGACCCGGTAAACTTACTACTTAGAACTCACAATTCTCTACTCACTACGCCCTGCCCAGAACTCATGAATCACTATGCGCTACTCGCTACCCAATACGACATGTTCACTACCCACTACGCACTACTCGCTAGTCAGTACTCACTACTCCCTATCCCCTACTCACTATTCACTACTCGCAAGTCGCTACCCACTACTCACTACTCACTACTCACGACCCAATACTCACTACTCACAAGTTTTTGCTCGCTGCTCCCTACTCACTACCCACTACTCAATACCCACTTTTCGCTTGTAACTACTCACCACTTACACCCACTACTCCCTACTCACTACTCACGACGCACAACTCACTACTCACTACTCACTACCCGCTACTCCCTGTTCGCTGCGCGCTACTCCATACTCACTACTCACTGCTGACACCTGACTACTCCCTCATCACTACTCGCTACTCACAACGCCCTACTTGCTACTCACTACTAACTACTCGCTACTCGCTACTCCCTACTCGCTACTCCCTACTCGCTACTCGCTCCTCGCTACTCACCACTCACTACTCTCTACTCACTGCGCACTACTCACTACTCACTACTCAATCCTCGCTATGTGCTACTGTCTACTCTCTCATCCCTTTTCCCTGCGTGCTTCTCACTATGCACTACTCACTACACACTACTCACTCCTCACTACTCACAATTTCTTACTCACTACTTCCCTCCCACTACTCACTACCCCCTACTCATTACTCACTACTCACTACTCATTAATCTCTACGCGCTACCCATTACTACCACGACCCATTACCCACTACTCACTACTCACCAGTCACGACCCACTGCGCATTACTCACTAACAAATACCCACTATTCACTAATCGCTCAAAACACTCTACTCTCTACTCACTACCCGAGAAGCACCCTCCCCAGCCCCCTGTTCGGCGCAAAGGGAGGGAGAGGGGGGGGGGTCGAATCCCCTCCCCCTTCCAGCGCCAAGGGGGGAAAGGGGGGGGGTCGGAACACCCCCCCCCTTAACGGGGGAAGGGGGGGGGGGGGGGGCGAAAATCTCACCCCCCTTTGAAGGGGGGGAGGGGGGGGGTTCTGCGAGCACACCCCCCCTTTTGTGTATTCAGGGCCATCCACTGGCGCGCTTTCGTAATCACCAGTCCAGCAGCGTTCTGAAACCACGTACACAAGCAACTGGCTGCTTGTGCTACGCTCAGGTCGGGGGCGCACTGGCCCTGGTCAATGCAAACCCGGGCCAGTCAGGCCTTGCAGGGACCTGCAACATCCTGAATGATCCTGCAAGATCCTGCGCGGTAGCCCGGGTCAGTGCAGGCCTGGCTTTGCGGGATCCTGCAGGCTCTGGCGCTCTGACCGGCCCCCGCTTGCACTGTCCCCTGTCACTTGAGCCCCGACTGGGCATCCGAGGGCCCGTTCTGGGGCACCGGTAGCACGCGAGATCCCAGGGAAAGGCTGAGGTCATAGATCTCGAGCACCACGCAGTGGAACAAATGAGGCAGAACGTCGGAGGTCAGGGCCAGGGCGAAGTCCAGGACACTTGGGCAGAACCCGCCCGGGAAAAACACAATTCAAAAGCAAACGCTCGATGGTGACACGGAGATAATCGACTGTCCTCCGCCCGGGACGGGGAGGAGGAAAAAGAGGGGAATCGAGGGAGGGAGGAGGGACGGGGTGTGTTGGAGCAGAGGGGCGGAACGGCGGCCCAAGGAACTCCTCCGCATCCTTCTCCTCCTATCCTCCTCTGCATCGCCCTCCTCCTCCGCCTCCCACTTCCCTTCCGCTCCTCTTCCTCCTCATTTCCCTCCTCTTCCGCCTCCCCCTTCCGCTCCTCGTCCTCCTCTTCCTCCTCTTCCTCATCCTCCTCCCTGGGTACTGGGTACTGGTGGCGAAAGGGTCAATCCGACGCAGCCACCCCCACCCCCCCAAGGGTCGGATGACCCTGGGGGGTTGATCGACCTAGATATTTGCAAGAAAAAACAGGACGCGACAAACAGACCCCCGAGGGGCGGGGCAACTATGTTCCCCCACACCATGGGCGGGGGGGAGGGGCGAGGGGAAGCACCCGGTAAAACATCGGAAGAAGGGGGAGGTGGGAGCAAAAAGCCCAGGCGGCTGTGGCGGAAAGAGGACAGCTGTGGCGTTGGCGGCTGTCTCAGTGGAGCGCGTGTCTGCAACCACTCCCCCAAAATGGGGTGGCGCACGGGCCTCTCCCCCGCCGTCGGGGGGCCCCCATATCCTGGCCCGCAGTCCAACCGAGGGGGGCCCCCACCCACCGAGGCAGACGAAGGGTTCCCAGGAGGGGACGGGAAGCCAGATGGGGGTTTCCTCAGGCGTGGGGAGGTCTGCACCATCCTGGGGCGGCGGCCACACCAGGTTGCGCAACAGCTCCCAAACTGCAGGTTCACCGCAACCCTTCCTCCACTATGAGCGCGACTGCACGACGGCTCGGGCGAGCAGCGAGTGGCGGGCGACAATGCCCAGGGCGAGTGGCAAGGGGCTGGCGGAGGCTAGCGGCGCCGCTGGCCGCGCGGCCCTGGCCATCGCCAGGGCGGCCGGCGGTTGTACTGGATGAGGCAGCAAACTGCACAACGGGCTGCCAGGTCACCGTTGCACTTGAACCTTGGGCGCGCCCTGCGGTGCGGCAGCGGCCACAGAAGCAGGAGGGGATGGCGAAAAGGCCCCTCCCCAGCTCGCAAGAGAACCCACCACCCCGACCCTCAGCCCCACTAAGGGGGTCCTCGCCGCCCGAGGTGGCCGCAGCATTCCCAAGGAGTGACACTGGGATCGGGCGGATGTTTACACCGGCGCCTGCACAGGTAACTTGATAGGCGTCACAAACATGCTGCTGTTTGGCGGCGCCACCCTGGATGATGCCAGGGTAGCCATCTGCGCTGAGTTTCCACTGAACTCGCGGGCGGCGTGTGGTGTTTGCCGCGGGCTGCCAAAAAGGTAAGACGGACAGGGCTGGTTCGCAGGTTGGCTTGCCAATGGTGAAATGAAGTGGGTTCGCTTACGGCGCTGCACCTTCGCCAGGGTGGCCAACGGCAAGTTCCCCCCCCCCGCCCACCCTCGCATGGCTAAGTCTGTGCGTGTGTGTATGTGTGTGTGTCTGTGGGTGTGTGTGTGCGTGTGCGTGTGCGTGTGCGTGTGCGTGTGCGTGTGCGTGTGCGTGTGCGTGTGCGTGTGCGTGTGCGTGTGCGTTTGCGTGTGCGCTTGCGCTTGCGCGTGCGCGTGCGCGTGCGTGCGCGTGTGCGTGTGCGTGTGCGTGTGCGTGTGCGTGTGCGTGTGCGTGTGCGTGTGCGTGTGCGTGTGCGTGCGCGTGCGTGTGCGTGTGTGCGTGCGTGCGTGTGCGTGTGCGCGTGCGTGTGCGTGTGCGTGTGCGTGTGCATGTGCGTGTGCGTGTGCGTGTGCGTTTGAGTGTGCGTGTGCGTGTGCGTTTGCGTGTGCGTGTGCGTGTGTGTGTGTGCGTGTGTGTTGTCGTGTGTGTGTGCGTGCGCGCGCGTGCGTGCGTGCGTGTGGTGTGTGTGTGTGTGTGTGCGTGTGCGTGTGTCTGTGTGTGGGTGCGTGCGTGCGTGCGTGCGTGCGTATGTGCGTGCGAACGTGCGTGCGTGAATGTGCGTGCGTGCGTGCGTGTGCGTGTGCGTGTGCGTGTGTGTGTGTGTCTGTGTGCGTGTGCGTGTGCGTGTGCGTGTGCGTGTTCGTGTTCGTGTGCGTGTGCGTGTGCGTGTGCGAGTGCGTGTACGTGTGCGTGCGTGTGCGTGTGTGTGTGCGTGTGCATGTGTGTGTGCGCGCGTGCGTGCGTGTCTGTGCGTGGGCGCGTGTGTTTCAATGGCCGCAATTAGCTTCGATCTGTCGCGCTTCAGCTTATTTTAATCAAAAAGTGTCGTCGTATTGCGCGATGTGATATCGTC